TATAAAAATCCAGGGCATAGAGATCTCTCGAAAACCCTCTGACTTTCCTCTTAACTCTTAACCACAACTTCATTTTTTGAAGTTTTATCTAGACTGATATTATTTATAAAAATCCAGGGCATAGAGATCTCTCGAAAACCCTCTGACTTTCCTCTTAACTCCTAAGCACAACTTCATTTTTTGAAGTTTTATCTAGACTGATATTATTTATAAAAATCCAGGGCATAGAGATCTCTCGAAAACCCTCTGACTTTCCTCTTAACTCCTAACCACAACTTCATTTTTTGAAGTTTTATCTAGACTGATATTATTTATAAAAATCCAGGGCATAGAGATCTCTCGAAAACCCTCTGACTTTCCTCTTAACTCCTAACCACAACTTCATTTTTTGAAGTTTTATCTAGACTGATATTATTTATAAAAATCCAGGGCATAGAGATCTCTCGAAAACCCTCTGACTTTCCTCTTAACTCCTAACCACAACTTCATTTTTTGAAGTTTTATCTAGACTGATATTATTTATAAAAATCCAGGGCATAGAGATCTCTCGAAAACCCTCTGACTTTCCTCTTAACTCTTAACCACAACTTCATTTTTTGAAGTTTTATCTAGACTGATATTATTTATAAAAATCCAGGGCATAGAGATCTCTCGAAAACCCTCTGACTTTCCTCTTAACTCCTAAGCACAACTTCATTTTTTGAAGTTTTATCTAGACTGATATTATTTATAAAAATCCAGGGCATAGAGATCTCTCGAAAACCCTCTGACTTTCCTCTTAACTCCTAACCACAACTTCATTTTTTGAAGTTTTATCTAGACTGATATTATTTATAAAAATCCAGGGCATAGAGATCTCTCGAAAACCCTCTGACTTTCCTCTTAACTCTTAACCACAACTTCATTTTTTGAAGTTTTATCTAGACTGTGATATGATTTTAAAAAATCCAGGGCTTAGAGATCTCTCGAAAACCCTCTGACTTTCCTCTTAACTCCTAAGCACAACTTCATTTTTTGAAGTTTTATCTAGACTGATATTATTTATAAAAATCCAGGGCATAGAGATCTCTCGAAAACCCTCTGACTTTCCTCTTAACTCTTAACCACAACTTCATTTTTTGAAGTTTTATCTAGACTGTGATATGATTTTAAAAAATCCAGGGCTTAGAGATCTCTCGAAAACCCTCTGACTTTCCTCTTAACTCTTAACCACAACTTCATTTTTTGAAGTTTTATCTAGACTGTGATATGATTTTAAAAAATCCAGGGCTTAGAGATCTCTCGAAAACCCTCTGACTTTCCTCTTAACTCCTAAGCACAACTTCATTTTTTGAAGTTTTATCTAGACTGATATTATTTATAAAAATCCAGGGCTTAGAGATCTCTTGAAAACCCTCTGACTTTCCTCTTAACTCTTAACCACAACTTCATTTTTTGAAGTTTTATCTAGACTGATATTATTTATAAAAATCCAGGGCATAGAGATCTCTCGAAAACCCTCCTGACTTTCCTCTTAACTCCTAAGCACAACTTCATTTTTTGAAGTTTTATCTAGACTGATATTATTTATAAAAATCCAGGGCATAGAGATCTCTTGAAAACCCTCTGACTTTCCTCTTAACTCCTAACCACAACTTCATTTTTTGAAGTTTTATCTAGACTGTGATATGATTTTAAAAAATCCAGGGCTTAGAGATCTCTCGAAAACCCTCTGACTTTCCTCTTAACTCTTAACCACAACTTCATTTTTTGAAGTTTTATCTAGACTGATATTATTTATAAAAATCCAGGGCATAGAGATCTCTCGAAAACCCTCTGACTTTCCTCTTAACTCTTAACCACAACTTCATTTTTTGAAGTTTTATCTAGACTGATATTATTTATAAAAATCCAGGGCATAGAGATCTCTCGAAAACCCTCTGACTTTCCTCTTAACTCCTAAGCACAACTTCATTTTTGAAGTTTTATCTAGACTGATATTATTTATAAAAATCCAGGGCATAGAGATCTCTCGAAAACCCTCTGACTTTCCTCTTAACTCCTAACCACAACTTCATTTTTTGAAGTTTTATCTAGACTGATATTATTTATAAAAATCCAGGGCATAGAGATCTCTCGAAAACCCTCTGACTTTCCTCTTAACTCCTAACCACAACTTCATTTTTTGAAGTTTTATCTAGACTGATATTATTTATAAAAATCCAGGGCATAGAGATCTCTCGAAAACCCTCTGACTTTCCTCTTAACTCTTAACCACAACTTCATTTTTTGAAGTTTTATCTAGACTGATATTATTTATAAAAATCCAGGGCATAGAGATCTCTCGAAAACCCTCTGACTTTCCTCTTAACTCCTAAGCACAACTTCATTTTTTGAAGTTTTATCTAGACTGATATTATTTATAAAAATCCAGGGCATAGAGATCTCTCGAAAACCCTCTGACTTTCCTCTTAACTCCTAACCACAACTTCATTTTTTGAAGTTTTATCTAGACTGATATTATTTATAAAAATCCAGGGCATAGAGATCTCTCGAAAACCCTCTGACTTTCCTCTTAACTCCTAAGCACAACTTCATTTTTTGAAGTTTTATCTAGACTGATATTATTTATAAAAATCCAGGGCATAGAGATCTCTCGAAAACCCTCTGACTTTCCTCTTAACTCCTAACCACAACTTCATTTTTTGAAGTTTTATCTAGACTGATATTATTTATAAAAATCCAGGGCATAGAGATCTCTCGAAAACCCTCTGACTTTCCTCTTAACTCTTAACCACAACTTCATTTTTTGAAGTTTTATCTAGACTGTGATATGATTTTAAAAAATCCAGGGCTTAGAGATCTCTCGAAAACCCTCTGACTTTCCTCTTAACTCCTAAGCACAACTTCATTTTTTGAAGTTTTATCTAGACTGATATTATTTATAAAAATCCAGGGCATAGAGATCTCTCGAAAACCCTCTGACTTTCCTCTTAACTCTTAACCACAACTTCATTTTTTGAAGTTTTATCTAGACTGTGATATGATTTTAAAAAATCCAGGGCTTAGAGATCTCTCGAAAACCCTCTGACTTTCCTCTTAACTCTTAACCACAACTTCATTTTTTGAAGTTTTATCTAGACTGTGATATGATTTTAAAAAATCCAGGGCTTAGAGATCTCTCGAAAACCCTCTGACTTTCCTCTTAACTCCTAAGCACAACTTCATTTTTTGAAGTTTTATCTAGACTGATATTATTTATAAAAATCCAGGGCTTAGAGATCTCTTGAAAACCCTCTGACTTTCCTCTTAACTCTTAACCACAACTTCATTTTTTGAAGTTTTATCTAGACTGATATTATTTATAAAAATCCAGGGCATAGAGATCTCTCGAAAACCCTCTGACTTTCCTCTTAACTCCTAAGCACAACTTCATTTTTTGAAGTTTTATCTAGACTGATATTATTTATAAAAATCCAGGGCATAGAGATCTCTTGAAAACCCTCTGACTTTCCTCTTAACTCCTAACCACAACTTCATTTTTTGAAGTTTTATCTAGACTGTGATATGATTTTAAAAAATCCAGGGCTTAGAGATCTCTCGAAAACCCTTTGACTCTCCTCTTAATTCCTAAACACAACTTCATTTTTTGAAGTTTTATCTAGACTGTGATATGATTTTAAAAAATCCAGGGCTTAGAGATCTCTTGAAAACCCTCTGACTTTCCTCTTAACTCTTAACCACAACTTCATTTTTTGAAGTTTTATCTAGACTGATATTATTTATAAAAATCCAGGGCATAGAGATCTCTCGAAAACCCTCTGACTTTCCTCTTAACTCCTAACCACAACTTCATTTTTTGAAGTTTTATCTAGACTGATATTATTTATAAAAATCCAGGGCATAGAGATCTCTCGAAAACCCTCTGACTTTCCTCTTAACTCCTAACCACAACTTCATTTTTTGAAGTTTTATCTAGACTGATATTATTTATAAAAATCCAGGGCATAGAGATCTCTCGAAAACCCTCTGACTTTCCTCTTAACTCTTAACCACAACTTCATTTTTTGAAGTTTTATCTAGACTGATATTATTTATAAAAATCCAGGGCATAGAGATCTCTCGAAAACCCTCTGACTTTCCTCTTAACTCCTAACCACAACTTCATTTTTTGAAGTTTTATCTAGACTGATATTATTTATAAAAATCCAGGGCATAGAGATCTCTCGAAAACCCTCTGACTTTCCTCTTAACTCCTAACCACAACTTCATTTTTTGAAGTTTTATCTAGACTGATATTATTTATAAAAATCCAGGGCATAGAGATCTCTCGAAAACCCTCTGACTTTCCTCTTAACTCTTAACCACAACTTCATTTTTTGAAGTTTTATCTAGACTGATATTATTTATAAAAATCCAGGGCATAGAGATCTCTCGAAAACCCTCTGACTTTCCTCTTAACTCCTAACCACAACTTCATTTTTTGAAGTTTTATCTAGACTGATATTATTTATAAAAATCCAGGGCATAGAGATCTCTCGAAAACCCTCTGACTTTCCTCTTAACTCCTAACCACAACTTCATTTTTTGAAGTTTTATCTAGACTGATATTATTTATAAAAATCCAGGGCATAGAGATCTCTCGAAAACCCTCTGACTTTCCTCTTAACTCTTAACCACAACTTCATTTTTGAAGTTTTATCTAGACTGATATTATTTATAAAAATCCAGGGCATAGAGATCTCTCGAAAACCCTCTGACTTTCCTCTTAACTCCTAACCACAACTTCATTTTTTGAAGTTTTATCTAGACTGATATTATTTATAAAAATCCAGGGCATAGAGATCTCTCGAAAACCCTCTGACTTTCCTCTTAACTCCTAACCACAACTTTATTTTTTGAAGTTTTATCTAGACTGATATTATTTATAAAAATCCAGGGCATAGAGATCTCTCGAAAACCCTCTGACTTTCCTCTTTGGAAAAGATTTGGAATAATCCAAAAATGTAAAAAAGAAGTCGATGAGTTGGGACCTAAATGACATTTCCTCTCAGGCTTAGGCTTAGTAAACCACCCTGAACCACATTAGGCTTAGGCTTAGTAAGCCACTCAGAAGCAACTTTGAATCGATTCGATTCGAGTCGATTCGAGTCGATTCGATCCGATTCGAGTCGATTCGAGTCGATTTGAGTCGATTCGAGTCGATTCGAGTCGATTCGATCCGATTCGAGTCGATTCGAGTCGATTCGAGTCGATTCGATCCGATTCGAGTCGATTCGACTCAAATCGACTCGAATCGACTCGAATCGGATCGAATCGACTCGAATCGAGTCAATTCGATCCGATTCGATTCGATTTTTTCAAAATCAAATTCCACTCAATGTTTTATTCAGCCTGAAAACTTGAATATTTTCCAGCAAAACCGAAAAAAAGAAAAATAAATAGAAATTGCATTGGAGCGCAATTGCAATATCAACTACGAGAGAGAGTGGGGGAGCGAGAGAGTGCGAGACAAGTAAGGAAAAATAGTCATTTTTTTTTTGTTTTCCTGTTTTTTTGTGGCGGGTTTCGCTTTTTTGTCTCGGCAATGAAAAATCATTCTGTGACGTGGATTTTTTGGTGTGAAATTAAAAAAACATATTTTTCAGATCTGCTCGAGAAATTCAACAGTATTGGGATCGTGGATGGAAAAACTTGGATTTTTTGGTCGAATTCAAGTCAGTTTATTTTGGGAAGGGATTTTTTGTTGGGAAGGTCAGAAAAAGAGAAAAAACTTTGACTGATCAGAACTCAGGTTAGACTTCATAATTTTTGAACCATTTTTTTTTGATTTTTAGATAATTTCAAGAACTCATAACTTTGATTTTGACTTAGGGGCTAAATGTGACCTACGATTCGAACCGATTCGAGTCGATTCGAGTCGATTCGAACCGATTCGAGTCGATTCGAACCGATTCGAGTCGATTCGAACCGGATTCGAGTCGATTCGGACCGATTCGAACCGATTCGAGTCGATTCGAACCGATTCGAAAAAAATTTTTGTTAGCTACCCGCTTGACTCTTGTTAGCTACCCGCTTGATTCGATCCGATTCGAGTCGATTCGAACCGATTCGAACCGATTCGAGTCGATTCGAGTCGATTCGAACCGATTCGAGTCGATTCGAACCGATTCGAGTCGATTCGAACCGATTCGAGTCGATTCGAACCGATTCGAGTCGATTCGAGTCGATTCGAACTCGATTCGAGTCGATTCGAACCGATTCGAACCGATTCGAGTCGATTCGAACCGATTCGAAAAAAATTTTTGTTATGGATGGAAAAACTTGGATTTTTTGGTCGAATTCAAGTCAGTTTATTTTGGGAAGGGATTTTTGTTGGGAAGGTCAGAAAAAGAGAAAAACTTTGACTGATCAGAACTCAGGTTAGACTTCATAATTTTTGAACCATTTTTTTTTGATTTTTAGATAATTTCAAGAACTCATAACTTTGATTTTGACTTAGGGGCTAAATGTGACCTACGATTCGAACCGATTCGAGTCGATTCGAGTCGATTCGAACCGATTCGAGTCGATTCGAACCGATTCGAGTCGATTCGAACCGATTCGAGTCGATTCGGACCGATTCGAACCGATTCGAGTCGATTCGAACCGATTCGAAAAAAATTTTTGTTAGCTACCCGCTTGACTCTTGTTAGCTACCCGCTTGATTCGATCCGATTCGAGTCGATTCGAACCGATTCGAACCGATTCGAGTCGATTCGAGTCGATTCGAACCGATTCGAGTCGATTCGAACCGATTCGAGTCGATTCGAACCGATTCGAGTCGATTCGAACCGATTCGAGTCGATTCGAGTCGACTCGAACCGATTCGAGTCGATTCGAACCGATTCGAACCGATTCGAGTCGATTCGAACCGATTCGAAAAAATTTTTGTTAGCTACCCGCTTGACTCTTGTTAGCTACCCGCTTGATTCGATCCGATTCGAGTCGATTCGAACCTATTCGAACCGATTCGAGTCGATTCGAGTCGATTCGAACCGATTCGAGTCGATTCGAACCGATTCGAGTCGATTCGAACCGATTTGAGTCGATTCGAACCGATTCGAGTCGATTCGAGTCGATTCGAACCGATTCGAACCGATTCGAGTCGATTCGAACCGATTCGAGTCGATTCGAGTCGATTCGAACCGATTCGAACCGATTCGAGTCGATTCGAACCGATTCGAGTCGATTCGAACTCGATTCGAGTCGATTCGAACCGATTCGAGTCGATTCGAACCGATTCGAGTCGATTCGAACCGATTCGAGTCGATTCGAGTCGATTCGAACCGATTCGAGTCGATTCGAGTCGATTCGAACCGATTCGAACCGATTCGAGTCGATTCGAACCGATTCGAGTCGATTCGAACCGATTCGAGTCGATTCGAACCGATTCGAGTCGATTCGAGTCGATTCGAACCGATTCGAGTCGATTCGAGTCGATTCGAACCGATTCGAACCGATTCGAATCGATTCGAATCGATTCGAGTCGATTCGAAGTCGATTCGAACCGATTCGAACCGAGTCGAGTCGATTCGAACCGATTCGAGTCGATTCGAACCGATTCGAGTCGATTCGAACCGATTCGAGTCGATTCGAACCGATTCGAGTCGATTCGAACCGATTCGAGTCGATTCGAGTCGATTCGAACCGATTCGAACCGATTCGAGTCGATTCGAACTCGATTCGAGTCGATTCGAGTCGATTCGAACCGATTCGAACCGATTCGAGTCGATTCGAACCGATTCGAACCGATTCGAGTCGATTCGAGTCGATTCGAACCGATTCGAGTCGATTCGAACCGATTCGAACCGATTCGAGTCGATTCGAACCGATTCGAAAAAAATTTTTGTTAGCTACCCGCTTGATTCGATCCGATTCGAGTCGATTCGAACCGATTCGAACCGATTCGAGTCGATTCGAGTCGATTCGAACCGATTCGAGTCGATTCGAACCGATTCGAGTCGATTCGAACCGATTCGAGTCGATTCGAGTCGATTCGAACCGATTCGAACCGATTCGAAAAATTTTTGTTAGCTACCCGCTTGATTCGATCCGATTCGAGTCGATTCGAACCGATTCGAGTCGATTCGAGTCGATTCAAACCGATTCGAGTCGATTCGAACCGATTCGAGTCGATTCGAACCGATTCGAGTCGATTCGAACCGATTCGAGTCGATTCGAACCGATTCGAGTCGATTCGATTCCCTTCCCTCCATTTTTTTAAATTTTTAATAAAAATCTGGAATGAAAAATTGGGGTTTTCGCCTTCACAGTTACTTCTGGGTGGTTACTAAGCCTAAGCCTTTTTTAACAGTGTTAAAAATTTTCTTTCAATTTTTTCAGCTTTAAAGTTGCTTCTGGGTGGCTTACTAAGCTTTTTTTACATTTTTGGATTTGTCCAAATCTGTAACTTTTTTTTAAAAAATTTTTGTTAGCTACCCGCTTGACTCTTGTTAGCTACCCGCTTGATTCGATCCGATTCGAGTCGATTCGAACCGATTCGAACCGATTCGAGTCGATTCGAGTCGATTCGAGTCGATTCGATTCCCTTCCCTCCATTTTTTTAAATTTTTAATAAAAATCTGGAATGAAAAATTGGGGTTTTCGCCTTCACAGTTACTTCTGGGTGGTTACTAAGCCTAAGCCTTTTTTAACAGTGTTAAAAATTTTCTTTCAATTTTTTAGCTTTAAAGTTGCTTCTGGGTGGCTTACTAAGCTTTTTTTTACATTTTTGGATTTGTCCAAATCTGTAACTTTTTTTTAAAAAATTTTTGTTAGCTACCCGCTTGACTCTTGTTAGCTACCCGCTTGATTCGATCCGATTCGAGTCGATTCGAACCGATTCGAACCGATTCGAGTCGATTCGAGTCGATTCGAACCGATTCGAGTCGATTCGAACCGATTCGAACCGATTCGAGTCGATTCGAGTCGATTCGAACCGATTCGAGTCGATTCGAGTCGATTCGAACCGATTCGAGTCGATTCGAACCGATTCGAGTCGATTCGATTCCCTCCTCCATTTTTTTTAATTTTTAATAAAAATCTGGAATGAAAAATTGGGGGTTTTCGCCTTCACAGTTACTTCTGGGTGGTTACTATCTAAGCCCAAGCCTTTTTTAACAGTGTTAAAAATTTTCTTTCAATTTTTTTTAGCTTTAAAGTTGCTTCTGGGTGGCTTACTAAGCTTTTTTTTACATTTTTGGATTTGTCCAAATCTGTAACTTTTTTTAAAAAAATTTTTGTTAGCTACCCGCTTGACTCTTGTTAGCTACCCGCTTGATTCGATCCGATTCGAGTCGATTCGAACCGATTCGAACCGATTCGAGTCGATTCGAGTCGATTCGAACCGATTCGAGTCGATTCGAACCGATTCGAGTCGATTCGAACCGATTCGAGTCGATTCGAACCGATTCGAGTCGATTCGAACCGATTCGAGTCGATTCGAACCGATTCGAGTCGATTCGAACCGATTCGAGTCGATTCGAACCGATTCGCACCGATTCGAACCGATTCGAGTCGATTCGAAAAATTTTTGTTAGCTACCCGCTTGACTCTTGTTAGCTACCCGCTTGATTCGATCCGATTCGAGTCGATTCGAACCGATTCGAACCGATTCGAGTCGATTCGAGTCGATTCGAACCGATTCGAGTCGATTCGAACCGATTCGAGTCGATTCTAACCGATTCGAAAATTTTTGTTAGCTACCCGCTTGACTCTTGTTAGCTACCCGCTTGATTCGATCCGATTCTAATCGACTCGAATCGACTCGAATCGGTTCGAATCGACTCGAATCGGTTCGAATCGGTTCGAATCGACTCGAATCGGTTCGAATCGGTTCGAGTCGATTCGAACCGATTCGAATCGAGTCAATTCGGATCCGATTCGATTCGATTTTTTCAAAATCAAATTCCACTCAATGTTTTATTCAGCCTGAAAACTTGAATATTTTCCAGCAAAACCGAAAAAAGAAAAATAAATAGAAATTGCATTGGAGCGCAATTGCAATATCAACTACGAGAGAGAGTGGGGGAGCGAGAGAGTGCGAGACAAGTAAGGAAAAATAGTCATTTTTTTTTGTTTTCCTGTTTTTTGTGGCGGGTTTCGCTTTTTTTGTCTCGGCAATGAAAAATCATTCTGTGACGTGGATTTTTTGGTGTGAAATTAAAAAAAAACATATTTTTCAGATCTGCTCGAGAAATTCAACAGTATTGGGATCGTGGATGGAAAAACTTGGATTTTTTGGTCGAATTCAAGTCAGTTTATTTTGGGAAGGGATTTTTGTTGGGAAGGTCAGAAAAAGAGAAAAAAACTTTGACTGATCAGAACTCAGGTTAGACTTCATAATTTTTGAACCATTTTTTTTTTGATTTTTAGATAATTTCAAGAACTCATAACTTTGATTTTGACTTAGGGGCTAAATGTGACCTACGA